GGGGGATGATGACGTCTTGACGCCATGTACGCCAAATATACAAGTATCAAGCTTGCACGAGGGATCCGACCTGCAATGACTCCATGGCTGTGCACGGCGCTCTCCGCCATTCTCGTGCTTCGTCTGGGCGGGCAAGCCGTCCCAGCCTGCCTGGAGGGTTTCTCTACCTTCCGCCTCGATGATATCGAGGACGCTCTCTGGGCTGCTCGGTCATACTTGTGTCCATGCTGTTCTAAGTTCTGACAACAGACCAGCCATAGTGTTGTTTAATTCCCTTCTCACGACATCAGTAAGGTTTTTTGCCAGCCGCCTGGAGCTGCAGAACTACTCACGTGCACAGTCATGCTCGCAGAATCTCGCAAAGGTTTCCGTCCTGGGCAACTTTCGGTAGCTTTTCGTAAACATTGACTTCCTTTCCACACCCCGGCTCTCTAGATGGCAGGACGGCTGCCTTGGAGACGGCTGCCGCAGTGGGGGCCGACTCTGGCTTCCAGGGCTGCGGTGCTGGTGCAGAGCCTCTACTGCAGACCTGAAGCGCTGCGAGCTGCCGCACGCTATGCGGCATGGATCCAGATGCGTTTTGGTTCGCCTCACACTTGGTGCTCTCCTCGCAACTTGGACGACTGGTTCCTGGTCGCGACGCCACCGCCGCCTCCGCCGACGCCGCCCCACGTCAACACTCCCATGCAGCTGCGCTCGGAGGATATGTTGGACATCTTCGCAGCACCTCTGGATTGGGAGCTCTTGTGTACGGACGAGGACGCCGTGCTGCTGGCGGGCTAGCATTAACTCTCACTCCTGCGCCCTCAAGAACCCNNCCCGATCCTCTACGCACCTCGTCTTCTCAGGAGCACTCTCTCGGTGGCTCTGCGGATGCGGAAGATGCTGGCTCTATTGATGCAGATGACGATGCTTTGGCCATGAGGGTTCCGGATGCGCATGAGGTGGCTTCGCCCTCCTCTTCCTTGGAGGCCCACGCTGCGCCGGCAGACGAGGACCCTGTGGTCAGCACCACTGCGCCCGCGGACGACGACTCTCTGCTCAGCAGCGCTGCGCCCGCGGACGAGGACTCTCTGGTCAGCAGCCCTGCGGGTGCGGATCCTGTGGATCTGCGTAGCGGCTCTGCGCCTGCGGATGAGGTTGCCTCGCCGTCTTCTGCTCGGGACGCCCACGCTACGCTTGCAGACGAGGATGAGGTTTTTGGGTGTAGAGTTTCGGCCTTTGCGTTCAGACTGACTCTACGGTTTACGTCTTGCTTTCCGTTCAGACTCTAGGGTTTACGCTTTGCTTTGCGTTCAGACTATACGGGTTACGTTTTCGCGGCTTTAGGCTACCTCTCAAGCACTGCCCTCGGTTTAGGCTTTATACTAGGGTTTAGGGTCTAGGGTTCAGGCTTTAGGGTTTAGGGTTTGGACAACCTCTTCCGCAGGATATCGAACAGTTCCCGACGGAGCTTTGCCAGCAGCCGGCACAGGACGTGCCTGAGCTGCCGCCCGCCGAGCGGCTAAGCAAGAAGCCTAGGACAACTACGACAAACCGCGTCTTTAAGTGGGGTAGCTGCCCCAAGTGCGGTTTCGCTCGCAGCCCACACATTTTTAATAGTGGCCTGTTCCGCGGCCAGCTGCGGCTGGTGTGCAACGCCTTCTGGAAATTTTCGCCACACGGCGGAAGGCGTTGTTGGACTCATGCAGCCTTTGACTTTGATAATTATAAGTACAGTGACTGCCCGCAGTACCTGCGCCAGCAGTTCGAAAGCTTGGACACCGCCTTTCAGCGAGGCCACTTGCTGTGAAAGTACATGCTCGCCCTCTTCAGTTCTGCACCGAGCAAAGCAAAGCCCTGAACCCTCTTCCGCTGCTTTTTATCCGGATAGCTTTCAGCCGCTCTTAGCTCTGCGGCCATGAAGCGTAAGCGAGAGCCCTCTGCGCCTAAAGCTGGCACGAAGGCCAACCCTCTGTGTGCACACTGCAAGAAGCGTGGCCACTACCGCAGCACGTGCCCGCAGCTCGCGCTTCGGCTGCTCCATGCTGCGACTTTGCGCGCCAGTGTCAGCCAGATTGAAAAGCATCTGGAGGAGGAGAAGCCTGTGAGACTCAGCTTGCCGAAAAACCACAGAGGTCTCTCAAGCGAGCCAAAGGCAAGAGGTTTTGGAAAGCCCTGGACCGCAGCGACCACCCGGGCAAGACGCAGCGAAAGTCTAAGCAGGGCCAAGCTGCCAGGTGCCACAAAGACAAGGTGCGCAAGCCCGTGGCCATGAAGTGTGCCAAGCAGCCCATCATGGTCTCCGCTGTGCGCGAAGCTTACAGAAAGCTGAAGACCGCTGGATGGATCTGGCAGCCGAGACAGTGTGGTTGTGGCGGTCGCTTGCACCGGCTGCCCTGGAGAGTAGGCATGAAGCGTGGTCATGGCAGAGTCTACTACCGTTGTGCTCAGTGTCACAACTTCTTTGACGC